CATTCTGCAAGTTATTGCGAGGCACTAGATGTTCAGGTTGATGAATAACTCATGAAAACTAGGACCTGCACCGGATATTTTTCTTGCTTCTCCTCTGGCTCCACCTCCTTGTGGTGCAGAGCCAATGCAGGTTCAGAGGTGGTGCTGGAGGTTGGTGTAAATCCTCAGGCAGTTTAATAACCACCCCAGTTATGCTTTGGTATTTGTTTTGCAAGTCAAAAAACAGTCAACAGACTGTTCCACCCCAAGCTGACATGCTATCAATAAATAGACCAGAAAGTAGTAATGCAATCAAATATGCATGTCTTCATGTAGACATTTTACTGAGAGATAAACATTGTACATTAGCTGACTTCCACAAATTATTGCAAGGAACTATATATTAGGGATGATGATTAAAAAGGACCTATTATGCTAATTCTCATTGTTCATAATTTTATTTTTGGGGTCTACTAGAATAGATTTACATGCTTCAATGTTCCAAAAACACATACTGTACATTCACTCTGTGTATGACTCTGCCTGAAATGCTGTGTTAGGGCTTTAAGCCCCACCCCTGATGAGTTCACTGTGCTCTAATTGGTCAACTTGTTCTACATGTTCTGCTCCTGTCTTGTAGTCTACAGACAGATCCTTGCAGGTAGGCAGCCAATAAGGATACTGCTACAAAGTGACCTCACCACGTCACAGAAGTATGGGCTGGAATTCCAGCAAGGTATTTCAGCCAGATTTGAGAGCAGTGGTTTCTGTGGTCCTTTAAACATGGCCCCTGTTAATGCATGAAGACCATTTTAAACAGTTATCTGACAACTACTGACTAGTAGTATTCACATATGACTATGACTACTGATACTTTGAACAGGGGAATGAAAGATACATTTTAAAGGATTCACAAACAAGTTTAAAACAATTTATTGCGATGTTAGGCTGCATGTATGATATGTATTTATAGACAGATTAAATAAATAGACAAAAAATGGTTTGAAGAAGGATGGGTAGACTTACATCCAAAAATGCTAAAAGAAAACATCCAAAAAAGGCAAAAAAATATTTTTACAGTATGAAAAAATGGTTGGTGATGAAAACAATTTCAGAATATATTTTGAATAAAAGTTTTTTTTTTTTTGCTTCTTCACATCACGCACACATAATTGTAACATTTGTTCTTCAATTTCCTCAATATCATTTCCATTTTTGACCATTTTTTCCAGTGTACAAATAATTTTTGGCTACACTGTATATACAATGGATATAACAAGTCTACATAGGCCTGTTGGAATGGCCTTTGTTATTGTGATGTACTGTAAAAAATGAAACTAATGTAAGAGCTTTTTCTGCCTTTAAATGTGAAAATGCAACCTATAGAAATAAGATGAAACAAAGTCTTTTGGGAGGGAAAACCTAAGACTTAAAAACTTACAAGAACCTGGTTGTATAATATGCACTCCCTTTTATAACTGAGGGTGTGGCTATGTTCAGAATCAACCAATCACATTCAATCTCTTGTTAAATAGCAGTTAGTATACACCTATCAAATCTAAAAGGCCATCCAATTTTTTAGCTTATCGAAACACAGTAAAAGCCTATCAACAAAAGTATCACACACAGGTATATAAAGATGGGTGTCATCAGCATAACAGTGGAAGTTGATATTCAACTTCCAACAAATAGACCTCAGAGGAAACATATAATTTGAGAACAACAGAGGGACCATTATCGATCCCAGTGGAACACCGTATTTAAGTCGGGCAACAGGTGAGGACACGTCACCAACAGTAAAAGTCCCACCTTGAAGATAGGAAGAGATCCACTTCAGGACAGAGTCTTCAATGCCAGCAATGTTCTCTAGCCAATAGGATACCATGACCAATAGTATAAACAGTATTCTTCAGTTGCTCTATAAAACAACTAATAGCAGGAGTATGTGAGTCACCAAAACACAATAAGGATCTGATTGACATTGCAGTGGAAACATGCCAGCTAAGGCTAATGCAAGAATAATGTTAAGGCTAATACAAAATATATCGGCTATGTCCGAAATCAGGGGCAGCATCCTATTAAGGCTGCATTGGAAGACTGAGTGTGTTATGTAACAAGGCTGCCCCATTTTGAAGGTTCCTTCAAACGCAGTCTAGAAATGCATCCTTCTTTAACCAACTTGCGAAGGATCCACCTGATGGAACATTCGCATCCCATCATTGCGCAGCAGCAAAGTGGGCGTGTCCTGACTAGGCGATAGGAGCGGCGCTTACATGCCTCAAGGGTAAGGATGGGAACAGCTGGTGATGCAAACAGAAAATTATCCATAAGCCAGACCGTGCCATTTGACACCTTCTGTTCGATCTTCAAGAACGCAGCCTACAAAGGATGCATCCACTAAATTCGGGCACGACCAATGTTAAGGCCAATGCTAAGGTTCAGTAGTGAAAAAAAAGACTTTTGATAAGAACAGCAGTGAGGGCAGCATTTGTCTGATATGAGCGTCTTAACAAACCAGGTGTTAGGCAGGTCTCCCATTGCAACTAGTTCTGGACTGGTAGGAAAATCTTGTCCAGCAGAATCCAGGCTATTTTCTCCAATCTATCAGGGAGTATGAAGAAAATACAAAGCAGGCAGCAGGCCCTTGTGGTAGGCGTGCATCTGCTGTGTGTGTGTGTGTGTGTTAATGGGGTTTTCCTTTGCTTAATTCAGCGAATCAGTGTCACAGGATGTTGGCCAGTAGCATGTTCAATTCCATTACCTGCTGAAAGATCATTCTTTCCTGTCCACATGCCAAAACCCTCTGAGGAGGGGAGGGGGAATGGAAAAGTAATCTCAAAAATTAAATTCCATATCTGCCACCATTCCAGGTCCAAAAGTGCCTAACTTTCTGGTTAAACCATTTTTCCAAGTGTACCGTTTGCCTCTCTCAGACGCAGTTGCACTCATAACTATAAATGTATCTATAGTGCATTATAGATGAGAGCTTCATAATGCACAATAAACATGGCTATAATGTTATGCCTTTTGATAAATATTTATAGCTGTGTTTATAATGCTTTATGAATGCATTATAATTTGCTATGAATGCGTTTATAAATTACTAAAAACAAGGCGTTACCATGGTGTTCTATCAAATGTACCAGAAACACAAAGCAGACAGAATCAACATAGTGGTTTATTACTTTTTCAACAAGCCACTATCCAGGTTTTTTTTCCCTCACATTTTCAAAGCATGATGTGACACACTGCCTATATTATACAAGATCCGCTCCACAGACCATATATATTAAAATGGGGGCACATGATGGGAATCAAGAATTAAAGCACAGACATAACAAGGGGGAAGAAACACACCCCCCCCCCCCCCCCCCCACACACACACACACACACACACACACACACACACACACCAAATAGTGAGTTTAAATCCAGCCCAAAATCCAAAAAAAAGGGACTAAGGAAAGACACGTGAACCAAACCCTTCAACGCCAGAACACCAAACAGATAAAGAGAATACTTAAAAAAATATTGCATTGTATGCAAATATATAAAATAAATACACATTCAGGTTGAAAATGAAAATACCTGCATGCATGATAGTTCAAACATTAAAATGCTTCTAAACAGTGCCAATATGAAATGCTGTCATATTAAACAGACTATTGTAACACTGTCTAGCCAGTGGCCATACACACCCTTTATAGTACATAAATATGAATATGAAATAAAGTATAAAATACGTACAATAATTCTTGTTCTTCTCATAGCCAACAGCTGGCACCAGAGAAAACTGAACTGCATGTGGATTGTTTAAGCTGGGCTAGTCCTGCCCCTTCTATGGTACGTGCCTGTTTAATGACCAGCCTTCCCCACTCCCAAACCCCCCCTGCGTCTTCAGAAGAGGCGGTTTCTCACACCCTGGGCACCATTCCTGGAACCCTTAGGGTGGTGCTGACCAACATCATCGTCATCCTCATCATCATCTTCCCAGTTGGCCTTTAGTGGAGTGAGCTCAGGGGCAATTATATCCCCGTCCTTACAAAAAAAAATAATAAAAATGAAGACGCAAGAAATATGAAAGTAATGTCCCTTATCACCCCCTCCCCCCACTGCGGTACAGTTTCACTTGGATTAATTGTTGGCTTGGGCATTTTTTAAGTACCGTACATCATCAGAGAAGGGAGTCATTAGAAAATGGATCCAACTTTTGATGGAATACACTAGAGTACTCTATAGGGTGCCTTTTACTATTCTCAACTTCATTGCTCGTGTCTCACACAAAAACACCATATAATTCCCCCCAAATCAGTTATAGTCCCATGACATCTGTCACAGCTACGCCCTGGTGAAAGTGATCGTCTAGCTACACGGTTACTGGTGAAGGCACAGTTCACTACCTGAGGTTTAATGAAGTCTTTGTCGATGCACCACTGCACAAAGTATTTTTTGGCTGCTTCCACACTCCCGTCGTCCGTCCGTTTGCAGTAGACGCGGATTAGCTGTTCCGCAAACTTCTCAGGCAGGAGTTGGGAGACCTGCGGTTGGGATCATTTAAAGGTACGAAAAGTGTGTCACGTAGCATTGAGCCGGATATTTCAGCCTGACATTTATATAAGTCATGTGCTTTATAACCTTTAACCCCAAACCAACTAAAATCAGTTACGGGAGTTTGCGGTTTTCTTCCCCTTTACAAAACAAAACCCCGTGACCCATTCGAAGAGCAACATCAGACCCAGCATTGATGTTTGGAGTTCCATGGACCCACGCCAGCATACCTGGTTCTTACGGATCTTGATGGCCTTGCTGGGATCATTCTTGCAGTAAAAGCGCACGTTATTGATTGGGTTTTTCGCCTTCATTCCATAGTCCATATCAATAACCTGAACGAACGCCGAAAAAAGGGAACACACCAGATAACGGTTATAGGTCAAAGGACCATTATCTCAGGGACAAAGGAATGTCAAGTCAACAGATTGCAAAATATGGCGAATGCCTTTGTTCTGACAAACTAACGCAACAAATGACAAAAATCACAAATCCATCACTTCCATGGAATAGACCAGGGTTATTCAAATCACGGTCCTCGAGGTCTGAACACTGCTGGTTTTCCAGCCTTCCTTTACCTATCAGTCAGGTGTGAAGCCTCTGACCAGTCAGAAGCAGTAATTATTAAACTAACTACCTGGGAGAACTGAGAACAAGGCCTGGATTTGGAATTGAGGTCCAGATTTGTAGAACCCTGGAATAGACCAAAGAGGACAAGTTTGCTACTCGGACATGGTCCTGAAATGGGCTGTAGAACCGGACTTACGCTGACAATGAAGTCTTCAGCCTTAAAGAGGACATCAGTGCCGCTCTGGGGTGTGGAATCCGCAACAATTTGGCACCAGTCTAGAAGGTCGCTCTGACGATGACATATTATACTACAGCAAAGGCCAGTCACAGGAGTATATCAGAAGTCCCCATGGCTACACCACTAGAGAGAGAACCAGATGTTTGTTCAATGATCCCCACCTGTGTGATCTTCATGGGCCTTCGGGGTTGGGTCTGCCCCACACACTTGTACAGCTTACGGGTGACTATGTTGTTCAGGATGGTCTGTGCCTCAGCAAGCTCGGATGATGTGGAGTACAGGATCTGCTCAAACACATGGTCTGGGGTGGAAGGAGGAAGATAGGCAGTGCAATCAGCAGAGTTTTTCCTTAAGGACCATATAGATTGATTAGATCTCAAACCAAACATATGTGCAATCCAGACACCACTCAAGCAGTTTTGAAAGATATGCAAGAAACTATTTCCTTCATTTCAACCTGGTTGATTCTGGGACAGTAGCTGTGAAGACCCTCTCTTCTCTGACAGCTAGAAGGCCTGACCTGTCAGCTTGGTGTAGGCCTCCATGTCATCGATAGCAGTGGAGATGGTAAACATCTGACCATGAGAGCCAGGGATCTTGATATGATTGTCAGCCTTTTCAAAAGCCTCTGCTATCCTGAAATCACAAAGGAAAAACCCAACAGTCAAAGAAGTGTTTGCCATTTTCCCTATGGTTTGCAATAAAATCTGAACGTTTTTAGGAATCTTGCATCTAAGATTAAGGCATCATACCTGCTCGCTACAAACCTTATTGATTACATTTAAGATGCATCCAACCTTTCTGGTTTAAAATAGGGATTTAATGAACAAACCCCACTCCCCTAGTCAAAAGTTCTCCAGTGGAAACCAGGCAGTAGATAAAGTGTGAACCAGACCTCCCCAGCCCAGACTCTACATGAACAGGCCAGTTTACACTGACTTTTACTTCCTTTTTTGATACCAGGGGACAGGAAGTGGTCTGTGGCTTTGCGCATGGCAGACTCACATGGTCTCGATGATGTTCCCCACTCTGTGCTGGTAGGCACGGCGATGGAGGCAGTTTCTGATGTGAAACATGTCATAGAGATTTCCTACTTCCTAGGAAAACAAGAGCACATTCAGCAATACTTCACAGAATGTCAACTAAGGAATTAAATCAATTTCCCCCAGCATTAAGACAATCATTAACTGGAGTAAACAAATAAATTTGTATTAACGAAGAACCATTTGTGAGCTTGTATGTATCTAGGTAACCTTATCCAGTAACTTTCCAGTAACCCAGTAATAAGGACATATTTATAGGCATATGCAAATGAAATAGTTACAAGGACATACACTATATGGACAAAAGTATTGGGACACTCCTTAATCACTGAATTCAGGGGCTTCATTCAGACCCATTGCCACAGGTGTATAGAATCAAATCCTTAGCCATGCAGTCAGGTTTACAAACATTTCTGAAAGAATGGGCCATTCTGAAGAGCTCAGGGATTTGACGTGTGGTACCGTCATAGGAGGCCATCACTGCAGCATGCACCATGCCTCAGTTGAGGTCCAGAAAGAACAAATGACCCTTTATACTCAACTGGTTGGTTGAAACAAAACCTCAGTCTGCAGGTGTACTTTCTGGACATGAAACGTCCACCTCTGTCTGTAATAGATTACTTTTGTGAGTAAGTTCCCCAACACTTCCTACGGATTTGGACTGGAATATAATAAAAGTTCCAGTAGGTGTAATGGCCAGATGTCCCAATACTTTTGTCCATGTATGCTAAACCATTTCCGATGTTTAAAAATCGTCTCCGTTTAGAATTCATGTTAAATATACTGAGAAACAGGAACATTTTTAGACTACAAACCTTGTTTCAGCCAAATATTAAAAGGAGTCAGGTACCTTATCTCTGGTACAAATATGCATCTTCCCGTCCACGTCACACACACGGGCAAACTTCAGGAAGCGTTTGTAGTCAAAATTGTTCTGGATGCCGAGGTGGTGACAGTCTCTAATAGGGGATACAAGATGAGATCAAAGGCAGGTAGGGCTGCTGGACCAAAACCTTAAAGATGAGGATGAGAACTGATAAATTAGGGTTAGGGTGTGGAAAAGTTTAAAGTAGCAATTGTCCTAGAAGGACAACTTAATAACCAATAATTTGAGTAAAAATACAGTATAAGGGTTAATATTAATAAATTCATGCACAACATTTCCCACAACACTATAATCAGTTGGTTGTGATAATCACTGACCACTGGCACTACATCAGGGCTGAGAGGTACAGAAGCCTTACCTAGCAAAATAATCCCACTTGTCCACATCGATGCCATTTCTTTTATTTGCCACTATTTCATACAGGAAAGACTTTGTTTCAGGACGACCCTTGTATGGCCACTAGAGACAGAAAACAAGGCACAGAAATGAAATCTTGGGACTAAGTCTGTTTGAAGTATCAGATTTCAGCAATGACACTATTCTGTGAAGTCCTTGAGTTCACAGAAGACAAATGTTTCTCTGTTTAATGTCTCTGGCTACATTTACTTCAAGGTTTGTTTCGTCCAAGGTTATCGTTAATTAATACTGAGCCAAAGCAAGACAGAAAAACTAAACTGAAAGTAAAACTCCAAAACTGAAATAATATAAAAATGAGCAGAAACAAAACTGTGGTTTCTATTTTAACTTGTTAAAATATGTCCAAATGTTTCTCCACTAAATAATCCACAGGCAGCACAGCCTATGATAAGCATATCAAATTGACAAAATTACGCATGCGCCTCCGTGAAATTAAACCGTGTTTTGAAGAGATTAGATTAAACATGGACATGCAGCAAGCTGGATGCAAATGCGATGAGTAGAGTGCAGAACCATTCTGAGTACTAATTCTAATAAATGCATGTTTTATGGATGCAGAGATGGTCAACCTTATAGGCAGCATAGCCAGCCAACTAGAGCGCCAACTTCTGAAGGGGCTTGACTTAGCCAGTCACTTTTACTTGTGCACAATGTGCACTGTCCAAGAGAAAGTGAAACTGACTCGCTTGTGACCAAAAAGCTATGCAACTTGGGAGCAGCAGTTTCTGAGAAGGCGTCAATTTTTATTTAGCAGACACCGTTCCTCAAAGTGAAAGTTTAGGATTAGGACCAGTGTTAGCCAGTCCATGGAGCATCTGGGGTTAACCGTATTGTAACTTCTCCTTCAGCCTCCCACCGCACGCACAGAACTGAGGAAATCCTCCTTTTGATCTTATGCACCGCATGAGTGGAATATATTACAAAATATATTGAATTTAGACTCCTTGCCTTCTCTGAATGTGTTTAAAAATCTGAAACTCTGAGCTATGTATTTTTGTAGTTTGAGTATTTGTATGTGTTTTCGTTTGTGTTTATATCTGTGTGTGTGTGTGTGTGTGTACATGAAACATTTGTCCTATTTTTCTTATTTGTTGCCATTTTGGCCAGGACTTCCAGGAAGAAGAGATATTGTATCTCAATGGAACCTTCCTGGTAAGATAAAGGATAAATAAATTAAATTAATTATGATCAGTTAATGACACTAGATTGAAGCTAACATATGACTAAGAACTTTATAATGCTCATAACCATAAAATATGTCAACCTGATCCTTCTGCTCTTAGCTCTGCTTGCTTTTCTTGCCTAGCATGCCCTTCTGTATACACTAGGAAAAAATGCCTACGCACAGACAACACCTCCACCCCTAATATACACACAAAAATGACTGTCGGTTGAATACCACTCGGATACTCTCTGTATAGTGAAGAACTTCTGCCAAAGCGTTCGTGCGCAGCCGGAAAAAAAAATGGGTGTGGTTGGCCATCTATACAACCCACGTGACCACTGAGGACAGAAACCTGTCTGTTACTCTAGCAAGCGAAAGACACAAAAGTAAACTGTGTGTTTTGTTGCGGCTGGCTTAAGAAAACCCCACCATCTTTGACATTGTGACTCACAGCAGCCTGCTCCTGACTGAGGGACAAGGGCGGCTCCAAGGGGCCGGCAATCTGCTCCTTGATGAAAACCAAGTCTTCCGGCAGCTTGAGTCCGTACTGCTCCATGACCCCCTTCAAGCCGTTCACCTCAACCATGTGATCAAACATCTCCACACTGGCCTTCTCATGCTAGGACAGACAGACACACACACGAAAAGACATGACCAACCCGGGTAGATGCACTGAATACTGAACTTTCACCTGAAGATCAAAGAGATAAAAATTCCAACAACCAACCAATAAATTTTTTTTTTTTTTTTTTTTTTTAAATACATTACCTTCCATTTCAAACCAGGACGCATTTTCGGGATAAACATTCCATCGAACATATGAGAAAAGGGGCCGTGTCCTAAACACAAGAACAACAGAGTCATTTCAGATATTATTATAAATTATATTAAAATGGGGGAAAAAAATCAGGAGGTGTAACTGAATAGCGGTTAAATTTGAAAGGCTACTGTTTAGACCATGATTAATGTTTACATCTTGGGGATCTTTCAGCGACATATTATTCAAATTTTTCCAGAAAGCAAAACATTGATAAAACAGCTGTGAAAAACAACAGGCAGAGCTCAAGGCAGCTGGAATGGACCCTAAAGCGCACAACATGCGCAGCTTACCCAGGTCATGGCAAAGACCAGCAATCTGCACACACAGCTCATCCCTGTTGCTGATATCCAGTTCTGGTTGGCGTTCACCCAGGGCACGAACCAGCCGACCAGCCAGGTGTGCCACCCTGACAGAGGAAACAAAAGTCAGACATGACCTCCAGGGGATCTGAGTACGCTTAGGCAAACATGCACTGACTGGCTGGTACACAACTTTACAAGGAAGAAAGCTTAATACTGAGGTAAGAGCCACAAACAACACATCAGGCTTTTTATTGAACTTTGAGTCCCAAGCCAGGATTTAGACACAATAGAATGAATGAACGCAGACTTGCCCGATGGAGTGCTCAAAGCGGTTGTGGCTGGCTCCCGGGTACACAAAGTATGTACCCCCCAGCTGCTTGATGTAACGCAGCCTCTGAAACTGCGGGGTGTCGATGATGCGCACCAGCAGGGGGTGTAACTCAATGTGTCCATGGATGGGGTCATTGAACACCTGTCAGGGACGAGAGCACCTCTGTGACCTTTATGACCCCCCCCACACCAGTGCTTATTTTTGACAAAACGTCCAACTTTACCTTGATGGCATCTGCCGAAAGCTGCCAGAGCTTCCTCAGGCTGTGAAGAAGCTTGATTCGTTCCCCAAGAGAGCTAAGAGAGGAGCAAACCCACAGCGGACGTGATTCAGGAAGCATAACCACAGACCCGTAAGACTGCATGTTAGGCCTCTTCCGGGACGAAGGACTGCCACGTGACCGTCGACATCTTAACCACCACACTCACCCGATCCCCATCTTCTCCAGCTGGGCGTCCGTGAGGTACTGCAGGCACACCCCAGTGATCTGCTCCTCTGAGAGAGAAAGAGAGAGAGGAAGAGAGAGACAGATGGAGTGGGGGGGGGGGGGGGAGATGCCACTTCAGAGACAGATGCCAATCGTTAAACCACAGTGGAGAACCCTTTCTTCCTCGCACAGATTTCGCATCTGCCTGCTGCTAAAACTAACACTTTACATTTCATTGCTGGTTGCCAAATGTTTTGCTAAATAATTTCAATTGCGCACTCTTCTGACAAAGAGGAACAGAAAAACATTCTAAAATATCTGTCTACTTTCCCTTTGCAAAGTGCCAGTTACAGATAGGGAAAGCAACTAACTGAAATATACTGATCTCACACAATGTCTGGCGCGGACAAAAATGCTTCCATATTCCCATGACCTTCATGAGTCTAGACCCCTTCTCTGCAGACGACACACAGCAGTCAAAGCAAAAATTTTTCGCAGTGGTTGTGTTGTCTTGCTCTAACTGTCAAGTATGAGACTTTGTTTGGCGATTGGGGGTGGGCGTCAAAACAGGGGGCATCCCAAACCATGCTCATTTATCGACACCTCATCAGCAAGTTATAACTGATTAAAATATTCTTCCCTGCTAACAGAATTAATCATGCAAATGCACAAAACACAGAGGGACAACGGTTTCCTAATCATTTTAAAATATGTGTAACAATAAACATCTGGATTCAGGTTTTATGGGATCATCATTATAACCAAAAAGGAATTGTTAAAGTAACGGATTTGTTAAGAACTCTGAAATAAAACATCAATGTCTTCCACTACGTCTTAACAGACTGTAATTCCTGGTAGTTGGACGAAGCGGTAAGCATGCAATATTAAACTGTATAGAAAGCGAATTGCAACATACAGAAATTCCAAGTTCTCATTTAGACTGAAAATGCACATCATTATGGGAAAAGAGCAAAAGATTTGAAAGACGACCCACGCTGCGCGTCTACCACTACATTTTGATCAAACTGAAACGAAACGTCATATATGCAAAACCCATTTCACTGACATACTCGATTTTAAGGGGCAAGATGACAGACAGCAAAGCCCGGCGAAGGTGAACGTTCACTGCGATTTATCTGCAAAAGTGGACAGTGGAGGCTTTTTTTCAGCTAATACTTAATCGCTCAGTACCTCTGAACTTTTCTTCCAGGTTACCGAATCCCTCTTTACGCAAATATCTGCATGTGTCCTCGATCCCCCATTCGCGATAGTTAACCAGCCGATGGGGGACGTCGACAAACTTCTTCTCCGGAGTGGAGAAACTATCTGGGTGAAGGCTGTCGTCCCTGGGACGCTTTCGGGCTTCCATCTGGTTAAGTACAAGACGACCGTCGCCTACTTTTGCAAGATCTGCCGGCGAAGCAGCAACAGCGATGACAACAGTAGCCCCGCTTTAGCCGCTCATAAAAGTGCTGCGCTTAACGAAGCTTGCATCTCATTGGTGGAGAAGCAAAAAAAAAAAAAATATCAACGCACCCTACGGTGGCCCACCAGGGTCTTATCGTGCTGCAAAAGGGATGCGTGGTGAAATTAGCATTAATGCAGTGTGCAAAATGAACACGACTAGAAGGATTATGGCATTTAAACCAAAAACTACTAAATTGCACGCAATTATACAGAAATGCAGAAATGCCGTCGTTTCGAAACCAATGATATATAAAGTTCAATAAATGTTTATATAGTGCATTACACCACATAATACTCCAAAGCACACTGACACAAGTCTACAATAGAGGTACTATAGGGTTACCACCATCCTGAAAAACCTGATTGACAGCCAACAAGTAGCCATAAGTGGTAACCAAATTATACAGAAGACGAAACATCTATCTATTTTTATCAGCCACCTAAATATTTCAGGCCGACATCTACGCTTAGTCTAAGGTATTCATGACCATTCTTATTCGGCCAATAATTGAGGAAGCATTATAACTACAAATTACATTTAAAATGTTCTTTTTGGGTTCACTTTTCTACCCTGCTTTGCTAGCTTTCTTGTAATGTTTGCCATCTTCACAGAAAATGATCCTTTTAAGAACTGTACGTATTACCTACTCATGTTTTTTTAATCATAGCTGCATTTTACTATCCTGATTAGTCAAGTTAATGCTATAGGCTAACACATATGTCACATCAACCAGAATTTAAAGCATCTGAAATTAAATTAAATAAAATTACAAATATAAAAAACTATAATATATATATAAACACACACATACACACACACAAACAGACATACAGTCTACATTTTCCCCGACTAAAGGATGCCAGGACATTTTGCACTAAAAGCGTCGCTTTCAGTTCAATGACAAGCAATTTGATGGCGATGCTTGCGTCGTCGAAAAGCTTAGCACTAACCTTTGCGGTACCATCAATGGCCGTATAATTATGTTCGTGGCGGACTCCATGTATACATGTAATTTCAAATACATGACTTTGTCTTCTTTGGACGAGCGTCTTATTCGTCTTAAAGGTTGTTTTATACGGGCTCTGCTTTACTTGCGCAACGTTTGCGGGTCGCTCTGAGTCCCACACGCACCCTCTTTCTTTGTAGTAAGGGGTGAAACTTTTTTTGCCAGATATTTTAATTAGTTCCTCGTTCCGCTCCCATGTTTCGCTATCCCTTTTTCTTGAGTTTGTTTACTGACCTAAACTTTAAAGTAACGTGCCTGAATTGTCATCATAATGCCACTCCCCTAAACTGTTCTGGCTGAATAGAGGGTGTACCTTACATCAATCAATCCCGTTGTTTGTACAGAAATGATCTGACCGGGTGAAAAGACACGCTTGCCAATGATAACATTCCGTAAGCGATACTAAACCGTGTTGAACAGGGTGGTTGTCTGATTCTTTGTTCAGTGTTGGTTAGCTGGTTTTTCTGTTTAATTGTATTGTAATCCGAATAATAGGCTATTTTTGTTTTAATAGTTGGGCCACACTTGTAAGGCACTCAAGGGAAAAGCCTATAGGAAAACTTTAACATTTTATATTTCTTTTACATTATTCTAAGGAGAGACATGTATGATGTCACAGACTCAGGGCATGGTGCAGGCAGGAAAAGAGGGTCACGATCCACTAGCTGCTTCAAGACAAGTTAAGGGGGTTTATTGGGGAAAACGGAACACACTGGGGTAAACTACAAAACAAAAGGACCACAAGAGGTCAGAACTAAACAGGGGAAAAACAAAGATTAACAAACTAAAGAAAGAAGACATTAACTATCATCTCAGTGACACAAGGAGGGAGGAAGACCTGGCCCAAGAGCTAATTGCACCATCTGAACTCCCCATCCTGTTTAACATCAAGGAGCCCACCCTGGCAGAAGTCAGGAACACAGTCAGAGCAGCGCAGACAAGCTCTGCTCCTGGGCCAAGTGGAGAGCCATAGAAAGTGCATAAGCATTGCCCAAGACTTCGGGAAAGACTCATCAGGGTAGAGTGGCGGAGAGGGAAGGTAGCCAAGCAGTGGGGATATACAGAAGGTGTCTGGATACCAAAGGAGAAAAACACAAGTGACTCCATGCAGTTCCTCATCATCTCCCTGCTCAGAGTGGAAGGCAAAGTCTTTTTTAAGATTCTTGCTTACCGCCTAACAGAGCACCTGAAGCATTACTACATTGACACTGCAAGTGCAGAAGGGAGGAGTCCCAGGCATGTGAGATTGTGTAGAGCATACAGGAGCGGTTACTCAGTTGATCTGCAAGGCAAGGGGGAATAGAGGATTTGGCTTGACCTTGTCAATTGACCTTAGGGGGCAGCGTGTGGCTCAGTGGACTAAGCCTGTGTGCCTGTAATCAGAAGGTTGCCGGTTCAAACAGCCTCAGCACGTCTGTGGGTCCTTGAGCAAGGCCCTTAACCCCCAGCTCCCTGGGCACCACTACGGGTGGCTGCCCTTCGCAGACAACTTACTCTACAAAAAAGAGCAAGTTGAGGGAGGCGTAAAGACAATTTCCCCACGGGGATCAATAAAGTATCAGTTATTATTATTATTATTATTATTATTATTAATGCCTATGGATCCATTCCACATAAATCTGTAGCAGTAGTGTTATCAAGGTACTATGTTCCAGAGATGATCAAAGACCACATAATGGACAATGACCATAGTTTCAGCTTGAGATTCACCTCTGGGATAACAACATCTGCATGGCATCACCTAGAGAAAGGCATCATCAGTGGTTGTACCATATCAGTGGCAGTGAACATGCTTGTCAAGGTAATAGAAGTGGAATGTAGGGGCCCCCTATCTAGATCTGGCACATGTTAACCTCCAATCAGAGCATTCATGTAAATCTCCAATCAGAGCATTCATGTTAACCTCCAATCAGAGCATTCATGTAAATCTCCAATCAGAGCATTCATGTTAACCTCTAATCAGAGCATTCATGGATGACCTGACTGTCACAGCAACATCAGTGCAAGGATGTCGATGGCTCCTGAGGAAGGGAAAAGTGATCACCCCCAGCTGGGTCACCCAGGTGAGGGTGTCTGATGATCTGAGACGTTCATCACTGATGATGTGTCCAAGTTGCATTATATAGTGGCACAAGAAACTGCATAAAACGAAGACTGACAAAACATTCACTTAATATGCATTATAAATGTATATATCCGGGTTGCCAGCTCTCACGCATCTGACGCGACACTCACGCTTTCAGATTGTCACACTCATGCAAGGAATCTTACAGTAAATCTATATTATTCCATTATAAACTTAAGGTTTGCAAAATTTGTTATTTTAATTATAATATAATATATTATAGTCGTAGGGGGAGACAGGTGCATGCGGAGATAGAAAAAAAACAATGGATGCAATACAGGATGATATGGTGCGATATAAGAACAAGAATATGCATTAACAACTTAAATAATAAATAACGCAATGTACGGGGAAGGTAGCTACACAAGATGTGCAAATTATTAATGCAATAGTGTTGCAAAGGTGCCGGTAGTGCATTAACAATAAGGTTCTGTGTAAAACAGTGGTTATAGGATGGGCAGGTACAGGTCACTGCTTGTTTAGTGACACGAGGGCTTGAGGGAAGAAATGAAATGTGTGGTGCGGACGGTGATACACTGGTAGCGTTTTCTAGAAGGCAGGTGTGTGAAGAGGGCATGAGCTGGGCGGCTGGGATCCATGGTTCATATATAGTGTCTTTGTGACACGTGGAGAGGAGTGCAAAACACATGGGTGGCCGGAACACAGTGATGGACATGCAGAATAGTCCATAGGGGCATGTACAGTGGCACCAGCGGCCATACTTACGTGTTAGTGCTGTGTGTTAAGGGACAGGTAAAGCAATAATAGGTCTTCGGTCGAGATTTAAAGACTGAGATCGATTCAGCATCCAAAACATGAGTTTGCAGATTGTTCTGCGTATTGGGGCCCTGAAGCTGAAGACTTTAGTTCTGATGTATCTGATGGTTAATGATGTATACATACATCTGATGTATGTTTTCATAGCCACACTTGCTGACTTCTGTTCGTGAGGAAATCTGTAACCCACCGGCAGACCTAAATGGCACAGGGTCTCCATATATATGTAATGGATATTCATTTATATGGGTAATAGAGCAGTCGGTGTGTAGCTCACGCAATCAGCTTGAAGATGTTGGATCATGATTCTCCAATGGTGGTTATTTAAATGATCAGCAATAAAGAAAAGTCTTTGACAGTTGGAGAGCTACAGTCCATGGTGTGGGTGTCAGAAGGTGGTTTTCCGTGATTCCAAAGTGCCTGTCCTGACTTGTCAGCGTTGGTGTTGTCAAACTCTGCCCTTCCTATTGCTCGTCAACCCGCCTTTCTCCTCCCTGTTTCTCACCCTGGTCTGTTTCTCCCTTCCCTCTGGACTGCTCAGATGCTGAGAACCCTCCAGGCATGAGTTTGAGGTGAACCTGGAACCAGCCTTACCTCTTTAGCTCAGTTACTGGGATTCTGTTTTCCTGGTGTTTGGTAGTTCTTTGTTTCCCTATCAAGCTGTGCCCTGCTTGTACTTTTGTGTCATCATTATCCTAGTCTTCTATTCCTTTGTTACCTAAGGTTCTCTAATCTATGGTGTTTTAGTTCCCCAGTGTCTTGGCTGTGTGTTAATTTGTTTCACCTGTTGCTTGCTTGTTGCCCTGTGCCTCTGTTCATTGGTTGATTTATAAGGTTCTACACCTGCTCCCTTGTTAGCCCGGTTGTCTTTGTCCTGCTCCTCAGTCTGTCATTGCCTATGTTACTGTGGTTATTATGGTGTATGTTCCCCTGCTTTATTGCCAAACCCTGTTCCCTGTGTTTTTCCTTAGTTCTGTGGTCGTGTATATTCTGTAGTTTTTAGTCAACTCCTTATTTCTTCCCCTCTTTGTTTCTGACCCTTTGTGGTCCTTTTATTTTGTGGCTTCCCCTTTGTTGTTAAGTTTATTAATAAACCCTTTCGTCACAGAGACGTAAGTGGATCGCCACCTTCTTTTGTCTGCACCACACCATGCTGCTGTGACAGGACTTTGCAAGATACCTGCAGCTGACCCTGGTCTGCCACATCAAGACGGTGCTGTATGTCAATGACGGTGCTGACTTTGGTGGTACCTGATTTGAGTGACTATTCGAGGCAGTTTTTGTTGGTCTGCTACTATTGCAAGATCAGCAATATGCCTTGTGGTCAAGAACCACAAACATAGAATATAAAGAATTCCACTACTGCATCAAGCTGGTGGCATCAGTTGATGACCTGTGGATTTTCAGGGCACTTTTGGACCTTATCCCCATGATGTGTAGTTCTGATGGAGATCACTAGCAGGTCATCCAGGTCACCGACAGCCTAAACTCAGCTGGTTGCGTCAACACTAGCTGGTGACCCAGGTAGGGAGGTATTTTCAGAAGATCGCTGCTGTAATTCTATAATTGGAAAAAGTCAGTATTGACAGGCCAGTCACCTGACTCACGGTCCATTGCAGTGAAACTTAGTTTTTCTCTGTTGCTTTGGACAGTTTCTCTAAACAGGCTTGAGACACTCTCAACTGCTTGTGCAGTTTTCACTACAGTTTGCACACTGCAGCACAATAATTTGGATAACCAGCAATATGAAGTAATTCACTCCAAACCTTTCATTCATGTTTCAAAATGCAATTTTCTTGTCAGCCATTTAGTTAAAGCCACCAAAATGTTAAATCTGTGACTCATTGCCTAGAGATATACCAGTCAGAATGTTATCATGTTGTCAACATGAAAGTATACTATAGAAGTATTTTAAGAATTAAAATGTATCAATTATTGCTCATTAACTTCATTATCATTTCTCTATAGCCGGCTGAATTTGCTTGTGCACTAAATCATGTACTTTACTTGTGTTCTAAAACCATTACAAGGTCTTACCACATTGGTATTTTCTGCAAGACAGGAATACGGTAATATTTGTATGGTGGATTTTTTTTGTATTCAGGACAACAGAAATTATAATGCTACACGTACAGCCAAACACAAATCTAGAAGCTTTGGAAAAAAATGAAGGTATACGTTACAGTAAAAATGTACACAGTATTTTCAGTAGGTATGTTGGAAAGAAGAAGGCTAATTCTACATTATGGGATGTCTTGTAGCTGCTGCTGGTCTGGCGCATGTTTTCACCTACATCACATCTGATATTCATGAGAAAAAAATCTTCAGTTGCTTTAGTCAGTTTAGTTAGTTGCTTTTTGTTGGTCAAAATGAATTGTTGGTTTCTCAGTGTGATCATTTTACACCCAAAACAATATATATGTGTATCTTATCGTGTTAACCAGCTCATGCAAAACAGTTAACCAAGCTTTCAACATAATTTTTAAATATATTCCATAAATTCCAGTGATACGCCATTGATGTAATTTTGATTCCCACAGTACATGATTTTATTGCCATTTTGTCTTGTGCTATGTGACTTTTTTGTTTGCTATTGTACTGTCTTGAGATGTGCATGCGAGTGCTTCCTCTTGCCAGTGAACTTTACATACTGTAATATAGAGGATGCAATGTTGAAACTGGTGTCTTTGACATGAATAATTATCAGTTTGCTAATAAAAAATAATTAGTCAAAGACAATGAGAAAGTGGGAACTGACTGTCATTCAGCATTGTGGAGCTCAGGAGCAGACTTACACTGACATACTGACAATATATCTAAGCATTTTACTCTCATGGTTAAAATGATGTTGATTGTACTTTTCATTTTGGTGGAATTATTTGCTTTTGAGATGCAAGTTAATTGTTTTGGATCAGTTACAGGCTTTTGCAGCGAAACCAGTCTTGTGCTTTATGCATGAACTGTTTTGAGAAATACTCTTATAGTCGTGAGAATGTTAAGTATACTTCACAAAATGTGTCAAAGCAATCAAGAAAAACCAACATTTTTGAAAGTTTAAATGTTTTGCAGAGGAGAAGTAAA